GAATTGTAAAACTGATGATCTGTGGTGAAGAAAGCTGATGGTGCCCGGCTATCAAAAGATATAGTGTCTGGGGTCTTAAAGGCTTGAAGGTAAATAAGTGGCCATCTAGCTCAGAAGCAACAAAGCAGGGTGGGATGAGAATGGCAGCAAGTCCCTGAACGATGCATGTATTAGAGGTTGAACTGGAAATATGGATTTTCTCAACCACAGTAACAAACTAAATAAAATTAAGAAGACAAAAAATATTACGTTCTTTCCACTTTCACTGCCAAATAAAGAGAAGTGAAATGTCATAAACCATACAGGTGAATTTTTGTTCAGTAAGGCCATGCCACCCTATTGGCTTTCAAGAAGTTTCACTTCAGAAAAGCCTTCCTTGACACCGCTCACAGCCCCGCCCTGACAAGGTTACTATCACCTAGCAGAGTCTCAAGCATTTTACCCTTTTCCAGCAAATCCAACACGCCTACAATGTGTGACTTCACCTCCAGGGTCTACTTTCTACGAGGAGAGGGACCTTTTCTTCTTCATTCACTACTGTATCCCCATCATTGAATACAGGGGACCGATACGCAGTAGATATTTGATAGAATATTTGTTGGATTAATGAACAGTGAACACCTGTAACAATGTAACAATTCCTAGCATTATGAATATGAGATACTTAAGAGTACAACAGGAGACCTCCGCTTTCCAAAGAAGGTGGTTCTAGAAAGGACTTCCCTGTGAAACATCAGAGTTGAGGAAATGTTAAATGTTTTACCTGTGCTGTGTAAGTACATTTACTGCTGACGGATGGTTTGCACAGTAAGCCAGATACATGGACTTAAAATGCGGCATGAGGTTCAGTAGGCAGCCTCCGACTTTGTGTTGGTTTTCCGGAAACCTGTAAGGAAAACAGGCGAAATACACAATGTAAAGGAGGAAACAGGAAGTCAAGAAAAACAATTAGAATGAAATGCGGATAAATGTAAAAAAAATGGGGGTGGGGGCGAATTTCAAAGAAGAACTTATTGTAACAGCTTTATCAATCAGATGCTAGGTTTTGAATTCTGCTTTAAACTCTAGTGTTTCTCACTTGAAGCATATCCTTCTAGATCAATCACCCAGATCTCTCTCAGTAAGTGGACTGTTATTCCGCCTTCCTCCCTAGACATCCATCCACCTGTGCCCCACAAAGCTCAGGAAACTGTCATTTCCTGATAGACGAGAGTGGCCAACTGCCCCGAGATGATGATCTTGGAGAATCCTTTTTTTTCCCCAAGGATTTATTATTATTATTATTTTTAAATCATTTTATCGGGGCTCTTCCAGCTCTTATAACAATCCATACATCCATTGTGTCAAGCACATTTGTACATATGTTGCCATCATTCTTTCCCAAACATTTTCTTTCTACATGGAGAATCATTTTTGTTGCAGAAATATACTGCTTGCTGATCATTACAAATCACTCTGTAGGATGTATGTGCACATTTCAACAACCTTTCTCTCTTGAAGCAGCTGGTAGTTTTGAGCGAACCTTGAAGTTAGCAGCCCAGTATGCTACCAGGAGTCCACAATCGTGCTAATCATCAGATACATGCAGGGTTTGATATAACGATCTGCTTTCCCTTCGCCTACTGCAAAGAATGACTAAGTCAAGAACCACGTGCTTATAAAACGGAATGAATCGTCTGAATGACTTTTCCCAATAAGTAGCCATGAACTAAACAAAATATGTAACCAATGTCAAGGCAGTCTCCATGAACAATTAGGATTCTGTGTGTCTCTTACATTGACCAAAAGCAGCAGACAGATGATTTCTCAATAGAGCTAGTAAGAATTTACTAGATTTAGAATCCTGGTAAGGGAACCTTGGTATGACAGTGGGTTACAAGTTGGGCTGCTAACCCCAAGGTCAGCACTTTGAAACCAGCAGCTGCTCTGTGGGAGGAAGATGAGGCTTTCTATTCCCAGAAGTCAGAATTGATAGAGTAGTAGCCTGAGCCCTGATATATGTGGAAGTCACAGTAATGAGAACATGCACTAGGTGGTGGTGTTCACAGTGTCAAAGCACTAACAATGTAGAAGCTGTATCATAAACAAGTGATACTTGTCGAGTGTCCTTGTCTAAGAGAATGCTCAGAAGACAAAAAACGAACAATGTCACTGGCTAGCCCCATGGCAACACGTAACACTTACTTGGAACAGTCTTCCAATGCTTGGCAGAGCGTCTGCTGAAATGTGCAGATTTCTTCAAAGTTTCCCAACAGAGCTGTAAACTCCACAGTACTCAGACTGCGAAAAAGGGGGGGGAAATCCCGTTTCAGTGAGTACTGTTTGAAGCTGACGCTAGTTATCTATCTCCAGCTGAGAGAACTGACAGTTGCTATCATCTGGCACTTCGGAGAAGTGATCCTTATAGTTCAGGGTTTGCTTTTAAATTCATCTAATTTATGGTCTTAGGCAGCTTTCTTTAACTTCTTCTTTGGATTTGTTTTTTTCCTACAAGAATAATGATCCTTAGAAAATGAATGGGTTGTAAGGGACAGCTAGCTGTTTTAAAAACTAAAGGAACAAATACCAAACCAAAACCCATTACGATTGCAGCCATTCTGGCTCATAAAAACCTCATGTGCTACCACCAGGATGCGCTGTCCCATAGGGTTTTCCAGGTCAAAATGTTTCCAGAAACGGATCGCCAGGCCTTTCTTCTATAGCACCATTGGGTGGGTAGTTCAAACTACTAACCTTCACGTTTGTATCACCCAAGTAAGTGACTAGTAATTGCTTAATATCTAGTATCAAGGGAGAAACAATACATTATAGAGGAACATTAAATACACACGATTTTTACTAACTGCCTCTTGATAACTGAGAAGCTAATTGAGGAAGAGTATATAGGCTCATATAATATTTAGGGAAAAAATAGCAAAACCCAATTTCTCCTAAACTAAAATGCTCACAAATCAGTTAAAGAACATCTTCAGGCGAAGCAGGAGGGCAGAAAATAATGTGGCCTTTCTTTTCCTTGTTTTCCTGCCTTCCTTCTTTCCGTTTCTGTTTTATCAGAGTGGAGTCAAATCAAGGCAAACTGGACAGTTTCCTCCAAGGCTTCCATACTAAGAATTTGCCACCATTCCTACCCTAGCAAGCAGTCATTGATAATAACAAGGGCCACCACTCCATGTGCTTTACACTGATCCAATCACTTTACAAATAACTCGATTCAACGTCACAGCAAATTGAGGTCGGTGGGAAGGCTAGCTCCACTTCACCGGTAAGGAAGCCCAAGCTCGGAGAGGTTAAGCCAGGATTGGAAAGGATACAGTCTAACTGGAGTTTTTTGCTCTCTATTCACGATTTTCAAGGAAGGATTTTTCCCCCTGAAAAAAAAAAAAGTGTTTAAAAGACCAGTGGCTGCCACCCGGCTGTTCTCCTAATTGACATAATAAAACTAGGGAGTAGGTGCAAAAGAGTCCATTTTATAGACTGATAAAGACAAGGAGATACAAATAAATGTTACCAGTAAGCACTGGAGTGTAAGCAGCCCCTAGTTCCTTGGCTAGAAAACCCTCCGGAACCGCAAGCTGGCAAAGCCCTCCTCTGGTGCTTTCTCGGAGTAGCAAGACTCTTACTTGGGGGGCTTATTTTGCTCCTTAGGGATCAGGCAGTAAACGGTCTGGGTGGCTCAAATCACTTTAGGGCCTGCAAGACAGACCTGGCAGGAACCCCCTGACACAGGATCCGGAATGGATTAAGAAGAGCACAGATCTGACTCTCACCTCCTCTTCCCGGAGCTCTGCCTTGCCTTTCCCCTCACTGCTGCGGGATTGCTCAGGAGCCACCTTGAAATCGGCAATCTCACCATGGCCCCTCCCTAGGGCCCCTCTCCACCTCCTCTGCTTGCCACTCCCTGTGGTAGTTATATAATCGCTTGTCAATTTGAGGATGAAGAGTGTAGGGGTGGAGTCTAGCCTGTCAATCAGATCATAGCCAATAAGGCCTCTGTGTGGGCATGGCTTTCCCCTGAGGATTCTGGGAAAACTCTGGGATTTCCTCCTTGGAGGCGGAAGACACACTCTCACTCTGCTCACTCCCTTGGAGATGCTCTACTGACAAGACACAGGGATCTATGTTAGTGCCCTTAGCTGGAGAAGCCACGTGGAGACCCCTGCCAGCAGTGAGATGCTTATGCCACCACTGGATCCAAACACTTTCTACCCACTGGCCTGTGATTGTCCTGCATTCGGTGTCATTGCATGTGTTTCGTGAGTCTGAAGAGGACTTTATCGATTGGTATCGGATATATGGGCTAATATCGGATTTATGAGCCTGGACTGGACTGGGTTGGGATACTCTCTTAATGTACAATAACCCTTTATATAAAACTCTCTCTTATACACATACGAGTTTCGATGGATATGTTTCTCCAGTCTACCCAAACTAACACACTCCCAAAACAAAAGGAGGCACATTTCATTTGGTGACGGGAGACATAGTCTCCCCATGGACTGGCTGTGTGGTGGGCAAGACACTAAACTTTCCTGGACTTATGATTCCTATCTAGTCAGTGAGAAACACAGTCATTTCTTCCCAGCACTAGACTTCCTGGCTTATTGAAGTCTCATCCAGCTCTAAGAAGTATGATCCAAAAAACACTTTGCAAAAAAAACCCACTTCGTATTTTAAGCAATAGTAACAAAAAGCACTTATCCTTGATGATGTTTGAACTCTCCCAATACAGGAATACACACTAAAATGAAACCCTCGTATGGTTAGTTCCTAGCATGTCAGCACTCACTCCTGGCGAGCCTCTCTGTTCTGTGCCATCCCCACGCCGGTGATCACTTATCGTTCTGCTCATTGTGACCCGGACTGGTTTTGTGGACTGCTTTTTGGAAATAGATCACCAGGCCTTTCTTCCTAGTCTGTCTTAGTCTGGAATTCCACTGACACCTGTTCAGCATCACGGCAACATGAGAGCCCCCAATGATAGCGGAGTGGTGGCTGCACATGAAGGACATGGGCCAGTGGCGGCGCTGAGTCTCCCACCCAAATTTCCCATTTCCAATTGGTAGTGTCTGTGAAGTTGATTCTGAAGGTTAATCGTACATGGCTGTCAGATTAAAACTGTGCTCCACCAGGGTTGTCAATGATGTAGTGGGTTAATGCCAGTAGAAATGTTGGTGATTTGAGTATCCTTGGCGAAGCCTCAGACGAAAGGCCTGGCAATCTCCGTGCAAAAAGTCAACCATGGAAACTCTACGAAGCACAGCTCTACTCTGACACACATGGGATTGGCCTAAATTGCAATCAACTCGACAGCAATCGGTTTAAGATTTCCACACCACCATGAAAAGAATGAAGCAGGGAATTTGGCAAGCCATTATTATGCCTAAGCCTATGTGACTTTGATAAAGGGGACAATTGCAAACTATGTGGACTTAGCTAAGCTTAATTTTAGTCGATAGCTTGGGCATCCATCCCACAAAATTTACTTCCATGAAAACGAAGTTTTCAATTGAGGCCTCGGATAAACACTTCGGATTCCAAAAGCTAGGATGGTTTTGAATATTTTGCTTAAACAAACAAACAAAAATCACCACCATTTTATCCTTAACCTATGTCTGCATGAAATGCCGGCTCTAGTTGCTCTTCTGAACCACACAAAAGACCACTTTCTTTCCACTCTCAGAAGTTCTACTCTGGTGAGCAAAGGTCAGAAGAACGACCTCCCCTTTATGCAGTGAAAGCGCCAGGGAGTCTTCTCGTGGTAAGATACAACCAGATGCATCACTTCCAAATTGGAGAAGATTAAAATAAAATAGCAGATAAGCAGATCTGCCCATCCTTGTCACAACCCAGAAAGAGAGAGAGAAGAGAGCGTCAGGCTCTCTCAAAGCAGCATCTTGCAGAAAATCTGTGGCCCTGACCATGTTCTTGGCAACCTGTGATCTGTGGAAATTCTTCTAAAGGGCAAAATCAATTATTCAGTGACATTAAGGTTGATGACTTCGTCGGGTGGCATCATCTTGCTTTATTTAGCAAGAGGTTTTAAATATAATCTTACTTGTTATTGGACTGCAGGGGTCTTAAGTAAGTAACAAGAAGAGACTGAAGTTCCTTAGCATATTCTTTTTCCGTGTCCAAGATATTCTGTAACACCTAGGGAAAAACAAAGGTCCCATTATTGTGCTTGTCAGGAGAATCCGTGAGACAATTTCAGTTTAGCTTCTAAAGAGATTTTTTTCTCTTTTAACCAAAATAGTGGGGGGGGGGGTGTCTTGTTTACTTAGGCTGGCATTGTAAAGGGCACAAAATCTGAATGCAATTCGGTTCAATCTAACTAATTTCAATAATCACACATAAGTGGCTGTCATAGAACAAATCATACGAACATGAATTTTCATGGTGATCCACTAACTGGCCAACCTTGTCACTTACGCAGTATTCATCCAAGTGTTTTCAAGAGCTTTAAGTCGTTCTATCTTTAGAAATTAGCTCAGGTAGCTAACAAAAGATCATTAGTCCCATTTCACGGATAAGAAAATTAAGGCCAACTAACTCCCTGGTGGCATAGTGAGTTATGAATTGGGCTGTTAACTGCAGTGTCAGCAGTTTGACTGTACCAGACACTCCACAGGAGAAAGCTGAGGCTTCATGCTCCCATAAAGATTCTAGAAAATCCAGAGGATCCGTTCTACTCGGGCCCCCAGGGTTTCTATGAGTCAGAATCGACTTGATGGCAGTGGCTTGGTTTCACGATCTTAAAACACTGTGACAAGATTATGTAAAGGAATGATGTCAGCCATCACAGAATACTTTTGTTTAAAGTTGTGTTTTCAATGAGACCTTTGGGGAAGAAAATTCTCGGACTCTAGATTTTTAAGCAGGGTTAAAACGAATCTTTTAATAAACCTTAAAGGTTTGAATAATTCAAAGAGAAAAGGATGCTGAAAAATGATTACTTGGATGAGAAATCATATTTATCAGGATGGTAAATTACAGCAGAATTAAAATTCTGGAGGCAAAAGAACCAATGTTTGGATGTGCAAGTCTTGTTTCCCCTGCCTGCCTTGAAGCCTTGCCCCACTTCCCAGCTTCTTCTGGAAGCGGACGACAACACACATTGCTGTTGCTAAACACTGTGCTGCCCATAAGGTGCTTCCATTCTAACTGAAGAAAACCAAACTCGCTGCCATGGAGTCAACAGTAATTCATAATGACCCCTGTGGGTTTTCAAGACTGTTTATGGAACTAGAGAGCTGCTGGTGGGCTCCTATACCACCCCCCTTTTAAATCATTTTACTGGAGGCTCGTACAACTCTTATCACAATCCATCCATCCATCCATTATGTCAAGCACATTTGTACATTTGTTGCCATCATCATTCTCAAAACATTTGCTTTCTACTTAAGCCCTGGATATCGGCTCTTCATTTTGCCACTCCCTCCCCACTGCCCCTCTCCCTCATGAACCCTCAATAATTTATAAATTATTACTTTGTCATATCTTACACTGCCCGACGTCTCCCTTCGCCCACTTTTCTGTTGTCCATCCCCCAGGGAGGATGTTATATGTAGATCCTTGTAATTGGTCCCCCCCTTTCTGCTGATGGACTCCTACGCTCCCCATTTAATGGCTCCCTCGTGGCATGGTGGTTATGCGTTGAGCTGTGATCCACATGGTCAGCAGTTTGAAACCACCAGCAGCTCCGAGGGAGAAAGACTGGGCTTTCTACTCCCATAAACAGAGTCTCAGGAACCCACAGGGGGTGGCCATGAGTCAGCCTTGACTTGCTGGCAGCTAGTCTGGTGTTTTGCGGGGGGAGGTTGTTTGGGAGATGGCAGTGTGACGCATTCAAGCCCACTTGCCCATTCAACAAATAACTCCCAAATATCTGGCATCTGCCAGCCATCTACTGACAAGATAATGCATGCTGCTTTCTTTTGGAAAGGTAGAAGGCCCGAGTAAGTGGAAGAACCAGGTGCCTGTGGGCTCCCTAGGAAACAGCAGACGTGGAAAGTGGTGGACTTGGCTGCACTGCCACCTGACAGGGGGCTTTACTTTTTTCAAGCTTTATTCAATTCACCCCAGATTGTGACCTTACACCTACCTCAAGGCCATGATGAAGGAGTGAGCCACTGTACAGGTAGGTGCTGGGGGAGCAGAAAACAGCCCCTCCCCCCATGTTAAAGGGTTGAAATGGGGTTTTTTTCCCAATGGCATGGCTATTGACATGTCTTGGATACATTCCACCCCAATTATAACAACCAAAAATATTTATGAACTTTGCCAAATGTCATCTGATGGGCAAAAGCCCTCCTGGTTCAGAACCTGGTTCGCAAAGTCACAGGGTCTCTCCCAAAAGTTGTAGGCCCTCCCTCCCCACTACTTGAGTCTACTTTCAGTTCCTCAAGAATTGTGCCCCCTAAGTGTAAATCCAGGGGCCTGGAAAAATAGATATATTCCCTCCCTAGTGGTTACGTGTTGGACGGGGATCCTCATGGTCGGCAGTTCAAATCCACCAGCAGCTCCTCAAGAGAAAGACTGGGCTTTCTACTCCTGGAAACAGTTTCCATCTCAGAAACCCGTAGGTTTTCTACTCTCGTTAACAGTTACAGGGGGTCACTGTGAGTCAGCACTGACTCGATGGCAGTGAGAGGATACGTACTGGGGCTACATTCATGATGCATTGAAATCAATTCATTTCTCTTTATTGGTAATGTCTTCCAAGACCGCATCTCCTAACCAATCATGCCACACCCTCATTTGCCCTCATTGCCCCTGACGAGCAGTGCTACCCCACTGCCCCCACGAAAGGAGCCCTGGTGACTCAATGGCTAAGCACTCCGCCATAGATCAGAAGGTTGGCAAAATGAACCCACCCAGCGGGAGAAACACCTGGCAGTCTGCTCCCATCAATATTACAAGGTTCTTCTACCACTATGAGTTGGAATGGAATGTCTGTTGGGGGGTGGGATAGTCAAAGCCTGAGGGAATTTTTCAACCTGAGGAAAAAGAACTGATAGGATTGTCCTCATCAAATGTGATTTTTTTTAACATTTTAGTGAACTTTGTAAGTTTCTCTCTCATTATGATAAAAACTCATTTGCAGTTCGATACTTTCTCATCCTTTCATCAGTTTATGTTTTCTTTTTTTTTAAATCATTTTATTGGGGGCTGGTACAACTCTTATCACAATCCATACCTACATCCATTGTGGCAAGCACATTCGTACATGTGTTGCCACCATCATTCTCAAAACATTTGCTTTCTACTTGAGCCCTTGATATCAGCTCCTCATTAAGGCAAGTAGACATCATGTGAAGTCCATCATTGATAGAATCCAAACTCCCCTACCCTGCTGGCACAGCTTCAGTATGTCAGCTTCTTTTAAAAGTCCAGCAACTGAGCCTCTTTAAATGGCATCCCTGAGCTCTTGCAGGAAACGTGTCAAAGGTTTGACTCGCTAGAGGCAGCAGTGTACTTTACAGGGTGCCACCTCTGCTGGAACTCTGCAGGCAGATACTTACAATGACTTCCAGAGAGCTGCTACCCAGCTCCTACCTTTGAAGCATTGCAGGTGACAAAATGCTGACTTGACAAAATGAAAAGGACCAAGGTGGTGAATGAATCTTTTTATTATTACATTACGGTATATGCACATGTATAAACCGAGTTTTTCAGCACATTTTAAGTGCGATTTTTGTCGTAAAATTAGGTGCCTTGGCTGGTATTCGGATCGGCTTATACTCGAGTATATACGGTATGCACACCAAAAAAATACCATCCGCTGCATGGGAATGTACTAAAGAGAATGGTCCTCGCTTTGCTTTGAGCAGCATCAAGGAATGTCAGCATGGATGCTCGGGATTCTTTCCCCAATTCACTGGGACTTTTACTGCTATACTCTTCTCAAAGGACCAACTGAAGAACTTGGGAGACTGGTTCTTTCTTTCTCAGGCATCTAATGCTAGGAGGACCAGCAGGCAAGCAGACAGAGAAGGCTGTGTGTTCCCAAACAGAAGGCCTCCGTGAGGAGGCAGGACGCAGGGAGCTTGGCAGACCCACCCTGTTCAGAGCAGGACAATTTGATCGAGATGAAATCCAACCCGGGGTCTGCAAATGGTCTATGTCCAGATACTCTTTGCCACTCTGACTCTGGCTTCACAAGGACAACTGGGCATCCTTTGGTTCAACTAACCTTTGCCTGAGTTCGGGATAAAACAGATGGTGTGAAGTCAGAGAAGGGGGTGGCTTTCTGGGCTTCCCTCACAGACTATTGATTTCCCAGTAAAACAGATCTCCTATGTTTCCCACCAAGGCTTTCGCGTCAGTTCATTTCTTTAACCCTGTGTTCCAAAGGGGAAGGGTGCTGGGAGTATGAAGACATTATTTTAAGAGGCTCATTGCATAGACAACAGCTGAAAGTAGAGGTCTGTCCAATGATAAAAAAGGAAGGCTAAAATGGCCTCAGAAGCCTTAAATGAAAGCAAACTGATCTGCTTACAGGAATTCTGAGATAATTTTGCAGTCTGTAAAAATGAATGAAGGTTAGTTAAAGCCTTTAAGGCTTCCGGGAGCAATGTCTGGCTGGCGGTACTTGTGTCTTGGTGCCTGTCTCCGTCTGAGGGCAGTGACGGATTTCATACCCCAAGGTCCTTGGCCTTCACCGAACAGCACTGTCTCCCCATCAGACTCACTGACTTCACAAGCTCCCGTCACTCCCGCCACCTCCAGCTCTCGGATGGAAGAAGTATTTGGAAGAACAAGACAGAAAGTGGGGGGGAGGGGGAGGGCACAGAGAACAGAATAGATAGGGATAAACCATGGAAGGCCGTATAGGCTGGATGATGAAAAAGGATGGGTGAGCAACAGAGTACCCAAACCACGCTCACTGCCACGGACGCGATTCTGACTCACAGTGACCCGATGATCGGACAGAGAAGTGCCTAGAAGGTTTTCAGGGGGGGAGATCTTTCTGGAAGCTGACTGCTGCATCTTTTCTCTGGCAAGGAGCCTGGTGGGTTCTAACTGGTAGCCTTTCGGGTTGCAGCCGAGCATGTTAACCACTGCGCCACCAAGGTTCCTTGAGCAACAGAGAGGGAGAAAAGAATCGGGGTGAGAGGATAGATGAGGGAGGGAGGAAAGTGAAGGGATGC